TATTTACAAAATTCGAATACAAATTATTTCAATTTCCTTCACCCCCCCCCATCATATTGTTCAACCCAATGACTTATCTATCCCCATATCTCCCACGCATCCACATCCTTCTGCTTCCTTCTCCCACCCCTCTTGGATTCTTATACTCATTCTAAAATAATGGTTTGATACAATATTACCCTTGTGGGACTGAGTTAGTTCACTCAGCATAAAGCTCAACAGAAATGCACAATTTAAAGAGGATAAAATTGATGCATGGGACCTCCTAAAGATTAAATCCCTGTGCACATCAAAAACTTTTTCCAACAGGGTGAAAAGGAAACCTACAGAGTGGTAACAAATGTTTGGTAATGCCATCTCAGACAAGAGTCTTAGAACAAAAGTTTATACTGAGTTTCTACAGAGTACAGAACACTCCTGGGCCTCCACAAGAAAAAGACTGATAAGCCAATTACAAAATAGGCAAAAGACATAGGAAGAATTTTCACAGAGGAAGATATTCAAATGGCAAACAGACACATGTGGAAATGTTCCAAATAACTTAAAATTTCTTGTAGTTTTGGTCTTATTTTCACAATTTCCTATGCTCCTTCTTTTCTGCAAAGGATCTAATTTCTCCTTCATATTTGATGGAGAGCTTTGCTGAGTACAGGATCCTTGGCTGGCAATTGTTTTTTTTTTTTTTCAACTTTCTGTATATGCCATCCCACTGTTCTCTAGCTTGCATGGTTTCTGCTGAGAAATCAGAATTTAACTTAATTTTTTACCTTTGTAAGTGACTCTTTTTTCTCGTGCTGCTTTTAGAATTCTATCCTTATCTTTTAATTTGGAGAAATTGACTATGATATGTCTTGATGTTTTTCTTTTTGGGTCTAGATTTGGCATTTGCTGTGCTTCTTGAATGTGGATTTCCCCGTTCTTCAAAATAACTGAGAGGTTTTCTTCTAGTACTTTTTCCACTACTTTCTCAGTGATTTCCCTTTCACTCTTCCGAACCGGAATTCTAATCATACATCTGTTATTCTGTTTGAGGTCATCTCTTAAATTTTGCACGTACAATAAGAGTAACAAAAACGTTGTCTACTCTGGGTGTAAACAACAGGTCTGGTATTAATGAATGTTGAGGTGTAAAGCAAGAGTAATACTTGCTATGATGCCTCGGACTTTAGGTTAACTTGGGGGTGTGTGTGTTAATACACTCAGTGGAGTAGTAGTCATGTAACAATGCAGCCACCTTCATTTTCTGATCTGATCAAGGTATCATCCATTTTTCATAATGTGAATTTTCACCCACGTTAGTGTCTAGAATCTAAGAATGTGGATAGTGTTATTATTTCAAAAGAAATAATCAAAAGACAACAAGATGTCAACTAAATTTTTTATATTAAGTATTAAATATTTGATAATCCAGTTTTCTTCATCAGAGCCTTAAAAATAAGAAAAAAAAACCTTTACATCATTTCTAATATGAATCAGTTGCCAGTGTTTTAAAGTAAGTTGAAAATTAAAATTGAAAATAGTAATATAAACTATCCAAAATATGTTGTTATGTACCATTGAGTCACCTATGACTCACAATAATACTGTGAACAGCAGATCTGAACCTTGCCTTATTCTGTACCAGCCTCACAATCTCCGTCATGCCCAAGACCAGTGAGTCACTGTGTCATTTCATCTCTCTGACGGTCTTCCTATCTTTTGCCAACCCTCTATCTTTCTCTCTCCAAGGACTGATTCTTCCTGAAAATATGTCTAAAGTAAGAGAGATGAAGTTTCAACATCCTTTCCTCAAAGGAGCACTCTGGTTGCACTTGCATTTCCTTCAAGACAGATTTGTTTGTTCTTCTGGAAGTTAGAAACTGTTCTCCAATATGATAATTCAAAGTCAAAAATCTTTCCTTAGTCTTCCTTATTTAATGTCCAACTTTCAGATGACTAGAAAGTAATTGAAAAGATCAAAACTTCAATCAGTCACACCTTGGTCTTTACACTGATATCCTTGCTCTTTAAAAATTTTTAAGATGCTCCTGACAGCAAATTTCTTCTGATTTCTTGACTGTTGCTACCATGGATGTTGGCTATGGATCCAAGTAAAATGAACTCATCAACAACTTCTTATTAACTCTGGTGGTCTACTAATGGTAGAATTCTGGTATGAATTCAAAGGCAGGCAGTTCGAGTCCACCAGCTGTCCTGCAGGAAAAAGATGGGCAATCTTTCTTTCATGCAATTTACAGCCTCTGAAAACCCACTGGACACTCAGCTATGAATCAGTTCTTACTTGACAGCAATGAGTTTTAATTTCACTTAAATCTATGATCAATGAGTTCAAACGGATAAAATTATATTTCTGGTATGGAATTTGAGAATATCAATGTGAAAAATTCAAACCAAGAACACTTTTGATTTGACTATCATTAAACACAAGTTACGTGGAACTTGGTTTGAGTAAGGTGATATGGAAGGGTTCAGAAATGAGAATTGAACCCAATCATGTGCTCCACAGGCTTAATGGAATTGTGCCAATCCAAAGGTAGGTAGGTTGAATTCACCAGCAGTTTACTTGGGAGAAAGATGGACAATGTCCTTCTGTGTGATTTATAGTCTCTAAAACCCAACGGAGGGTCAGCTTTGTCAGTGTCTACTTGATGGAACAAAACATAATAAGTAAAATAAACTTTACATAAAATATTATTATTACATATAAGCTATTCCTTTCTTAAAGTGAAATTACTCTAGACTATGCACTTAATTAGGCACTTCAGACAAGTATGACTCCCATTCAGCATCTATTAGGAAGTCTGACAATAATTAAAAGTTACACAAATAATTTTAAAAGAAAAAAGTTGGTTATTATTGTGTACTGTAGAGTCAGAACTGACCCACAGCTGATCCTTCAGAGGGTTTTCAGAGACAGCTAATCACACGGGATAAGATTGCCCATCCTTCTCCGAAGGAGTAGCTAGTGACCTTGAACATGTGCCTTTGGGATTGCAGCGAAGGTTCTTGCCACTAAGCCACCAGAGCTCCCTTTAGAAAATAGTAGCCACGTTAATAGATTTATCAATTCAAATAATTCATTTGCCAGCCCTTTGAGGATTTGTGTTCACACATGCATGAATTTGAGGGACCCCAGGCTCATTAACACCTGCATTAGGCATAACCTTCCTTGCTAAAAGTGAGGACCTGAAATGCTTGCTGCAGAGGATCAAAGTCGATAGCCTTCAATATGAGTTACATCTTAACATTAAGAAAACAAAACCCACTCACTATCGGGCCAAAAGAGAATATTATGGATAGAAAAGAGATAGAAACTGTCAGTGACTTCATCTTGCTTGGATCTACAGTCAACACTCTTGGCATCACAGCCAGAAAATCAAAAGTATTATATTGAGAAAGTCTATAGTCATGACCTCTCCAAAGTGCTGATGAGTAAAGATGTCAGATTGAAGACTATGGTGAGTCTGATTCAAGTCATGGTAGGATGACAAAAGAAAAATCAATTCTGTTGAGTTGTGGTGTTGAGGAAGAGTACTGAATATGACACAGGCTGCCAAAATAGAAAAGGTGCAGCCAAGGTGATACTTGGAGACAAGGATATGAAACATCATCTCACGTCATTTGGGAATGCTGTTAGGAGAGGTTTCTGGAAAAGGACATTACGCTTGGAAAGGTGAAGGATCAGTTGAAGACCTTCAACGAGATGAACCAACACAGTGACTGTAATGGTGGGGTCGAGTGTTAGATGATGAAGGAATCACCGGACAGGGCGGGGTTCAGATCGATTGTTAATAGGGTCACCATGAGTCAGTCGATGACACTTAACAACAACATGATATTAGGAACAATAGACTAGATTAAAAACCAGAATAGAATCCATAGCTCGAACCCTGAGGACAAAAATAATTGGCAGGCAAAAGTATTAATTACTACTGTTGTCCTTTGGCTGATGTTTTCTGTCCGTCCGGGTGGGAAGGCAAGCCGGCAGAATGAGCAGAACAAGCCTAGTTACCTACATTTGTCTGCAGAGATCAACTTTTCCTTAAACCAAAACCCGCAAGAGCACTTTTAGGCGTGGACTTTCACAGAGGAGTCACAGCCTACACAGAACAAGTCTGTAAACGGAAACACCAATATAGTCCTTCATCAATTTGGAGAGAATAGCTGAGCAAATAGCAGAGTAATTCTGAAGGGCCACTAAAATTATTAGTTCAGCACTGATGTCTCAGCAGCAGAAACCTCAATTTTCTGCTCAAGGTTCGGGCCCAGGCTGGGCAACCACACAAGAGCATCTTGATCACTGTAAGGATACAGTGAGGGATCAGCCTACGTTCAGCTGCTCGCTGGCCCGGTGGACGCAGTCTTAGTTCTGCCTTAGCAAAGGTTTCAAGGACAGAGCAAGCTACCAGTTGAAAGTACTCCCTGGGAATGCGGCGTGCTTGGATTAAGGGACTCGACTAGGGGCCAATTTATGGCCGCAGTGTCGCATAACTCCAGGGGATACTATTCACTTTGCAGTCGTCAAACTAGCAGTCCCCTCCTAGATGGGAAAACCTTTCCCGCCGCCGAATACGAAGGCGCAGCAGGCGCAACTGAAACCAAAAACCCCCTCATCTCAAAATCCTAAATAAGCCTGGTTCCCGGGAATAAAGGGCAACAGACATCCCAAACCTCCCCTCAAACCCGGGAGCTCACCCATCTACCGCAGTCTCCGAAGTCTCCACCCCAAGTCTCCCTGCATCCAAAGGACTAGTTCCGATTGGCTCGCACTACTGCCCCGTTAGAATTTCCCGAAGTGTGAGTGGCTTAACGATCTTACTCTTAGCCTTAGTCCCGCCCTTCGGTCACTGGTGGGTGAAGCTCCGCCCCACGTAACGTCACACGTTGCCGCAGAACGCAGAGGAGGCTCTCTTAATTGGTCTCCAGCTGGTACCCACTTTACTTTGTCAGGAGAAGGCCGGGATCCGAGCCTTAGAGTTCCCAATAGACAACGTGCCCAGTGACGTAGCGCGAATCCCCGCCCTCTCCGCACGCACGCCGGGAAGGGGGTGGGGCCACGTTAACGTCCGCGCCATCGCTGCACAGAGGTGGCTGGAGGTCTGTTTTTAGTGTATGGTTTACCCTGCCAAGCGCTTCCGCCTGGTGCCGGCCATGGAGGGCGTGCGCTGGGCCTTTTCCTGCGGCACCTGGCTGCCGAGCAGAGCAGAATGGCTGCTGGCCGTGCGATCGATCCAGCCCGAGGAAAAGGAGCGCATTGGCCAGTTCGTCTTTGCCCGGGACGCTAAGGCAGCCATGGTACAATTCTTTGATATTTACAGGCGCGGAAGATGCTGGGGGAGGTGGGCCGGGCTGCTGAGACCACCTTTTCTGCACGAGATCGATGTCTGTGCTCTGGTTGCACCGATGCTGGCCCGGGACGAGGGCCGGTCACCGCTGCCCGGGTGCCTGTGTGCGCGGCCTGCTTTCGATGGACTTTTTAATCTCCCTGGAGGCCTCAGTTACTGGGGTGGGGGGGAATCCCGGGGAGAACCCCTTCCCCATTGTAACTGAAAATGGAGACAAGACCGCTTCGTAACAGTGTAGAGATTAGCATTTTTACCTTGTGATAATGTTTTCATGTTTTTAATATGCTACCTAATTCTGTATTTATGTTTTCCTTTGCTTGGGTCCGTAACATATGCTCCATAGGACTATTAACGGTTCCAACGCTCCCAGGTCCAGCGTTCCCTGCACGTGGTAGGCCGTTGACCACACTGACAGCAGAGAGGCGTTGTTATCTCTGTACCTGGTGGAACTTGTCAAGTCCCAAGGAACCTTATAAAACTGAAGCCCAGGGAGAAGGCAGCCCCGTGCACACCTTCCTGACGCCTTCGGGAAAATGGTGTTTTAAATACGAACACTTATTTCAGTTTTGTGTTTTTCAGTAAAAGTTTTTGTTACATAGTAAATACTTCTAGTACAGAGTGATTTGAAATAACCCCTAATGACCATCACTTCAAAACTGATTTCTTGAAGTGTCCATATTTCAAAACACCATTGTTTGACATGTGGGCTAATTGACGATTTTTCTTAAAACGATACTATCATATGTTATCTATACTTTTTTCCAGTCGGTAAGAAATTGTAATTGAGCAAAGTGTCAACTACTTTTAAATATTTTGAAGTCCTTGTAAAAATTTAAGGAAAGTTCAAAAGTCCTTAGTATTTTACAAAATAGTCCAATCAAGCTCTACATAGTTTTTCATGTTGTACTTTTGGATTTTGTGTGTGTGTGTTTATATTTATATTCATTTATTTCTTAATAATTAGGAAGAAAATGTATGGAGTATAAGCATAGACAAAAAGCCATATGCTAGTTGCAGTGATTGCACCATGGATCTAGAATAATTTCTCAGAGGCTATTCCTTTCAAATTTTTTCAAATAGTAACATTAGAGCTAACTTAAATATTAAATGATAGAGCAAGTTGTGGTGCACTGAAACATAGTATTGTTTTAAAGAATGTATACACTAGACAGGTATATACAGACATATAAAGATTCCAGTACATGGGAGAATGCTTTGTATAGGATGATCTCATTTATTACACATTGTTATGTATCATCAAGTTGGAACCAAGTCATAGCTGACTCTCCAGGTTTCAGAGGCAAGGGAGAAGATTGCCCATCTTCATCCACCCCCCAGGTGGCAGTACAGCTCCTTATCACTAAGCCAATACTCAGAAGAAAGACTGTACAATATTTAGGAAAGACTAGAAGAATTTGTTCTAAATTAACATCCTGTTAGCAGAGGAGTTGCTAGCATCATTTTTTATTGTATATAATTAAAATTTGCTTAAATTTTAACAGCGTTGTGTATTCCTTTAATGATGATGGATTTTTTTTTTAATAATGGTGGAATTTTAAAAGCAACAAGAGTTCACAAAAATGTACCTTGTGTAATATATTGTATGCTGTTGAGTCCAATTCATAATTGATCCTCCACACAGTTGGTTTTCAGAGGCTGTAAATGGCATGCAAGAAGACTGTTTATTTTTCTCCAGCATAGGAACTGGTGGATTGGCAACCTCATGCTTTTGGACTAGCCACTAGGCTACCAGAGCTCCATCTAACACAGGCAGTTTTAAAGTCTAGTGGGCATTAATATATGTATATGTCTTATATTCTTAACAGGCTGGTCGCCTGATGATAAGGAAATTGGTTGCAGAGAAATTGAACATACCTTGGAATAATATTCGTTTGCAAAGAACTGCAAAAGGAAAGCCAGTTCTTGCAAAGGACTCCCTGAATCCTTATCCCAATTTCAACTTTAACATCTCTCATCAAGGGGACTATGCGGTACTTGCTTCTGAACCTGAGCTACAAGTTGGAATTGATATAATGAAGACTAGCTTTCCAGGTAATGTGTTTTTATAGCATAGAAATTAAAAGTGATTGAATATGCCCAGACCAGGGTGTAGACTATATGTTTAAGAACACTGTCACTGATGGGTTTGGACCACCAAAGAGGTACCACTTTTAGGTTAGCAGTGCAGCTTTGAATGGACTATACCATATATGTAAGTTTAAGAAAAAGGTATTCAACATCCAGAGAGCACTTATCTGAAGAAAGGCATTTTTAAAAAGTCATATTTATCTTGGATATTATCAGACTTCTTTACAATTATAGAATTATTTATTATGGAGGAATCTTTGCTTACAGAGAAAGTGAAAATTCACAGATTTTCTTTTTAATTCATGTTGCTCTTGTTAGGTACTGTCGAGTTGAGTACAACTCATAGTGGCCTTATGAAAAACAGATCTGAATCCTGTTTAGATCCTCACACTTCCTGACACACAAGAGCCCATTGCAGCAGTCACTATCCAAACACCAGGTTGGGGTCTGCCTCTCCTTTGCTGACCCTCCACCCTTCCCAGCATCATGTCCCTGTCCAAGGAATAGGCCTTCCTAGCAACTTACTCTATGTAAAACTAAATTCAAAAACATTTTCAAGATCTCTTAAATTATATGTAGGTTATAGATGGTATATTAAATTGAACCCCACAATGGACAATATGTTGTAGGAATTTTATTTCACTTCTTTAAGTAATGAAAGAATTTAAAATGGAGTCTTAAGGTAAGTTCTCTATAATCCTTAGAAATAGCATGTTTTTATTCTCTATTTAAATAGAACTGTGTATAGTCCATTTATGTAAATAAAAAGGAAAATCAACTTGTTAAAATATTTGTTGCTTGCATGCTACCTTAGAAATACTTGTAGAAGCTACTAATTAAAGTTCTTAGTAACTGAGATAGTTTTATTGATTCACCAACTGTCATCACCCCCATCATCACTTACTCACTTTCAGTGTACCTTTATTGGGTAACAGTGATGCTTTACCTGTAGTGCCTGATTTATTTATCGCAGTCACCCTAAGGTGAATAGACTGATGTTTTTATTAGAGGATGAGTAACAGGCTAAGAAGAAAGAACTATTAAGAGTACCTACATCACCCTAATTTCATAATTATTGTTGTTATGTGCTGTTGACTGTCACTTATAGCAACCCTTTATACAATAGCTCTGAAACTTGCCCTATCCTGAGCCAATATCATTGTCTCTGACACACTCACCCCTATTACCGAAGTTAATGAGTCAGTCCATCTCATCAAGGATCTTCCTCCCTTGAGCTGTCCTTCCACCTTTCCAAGCATGATGACCCTCTCCAAGGACTGGTCCCTCCTTGCAACATGCCCGAAGTATGTGAGACGCACAGTCTTTGCCTCTAAGGAGCAGCTTGGTTTCACCCTCTGCAGGACAGACCTGTTTGTTTTATTGGCAGTCCTCGATATGTTCAGCACTCTTCTCCAGCACCACAACTCAAAGGGATCCATTCTTCATCTGTCATCCTTAGTCATTTTCCCCTCTCTGATGTATGGCAACTAATTGCAAAGACCATAGCGTGGGTTAGTTGCACATTAGTCCCTAGACTGACATATTGCTCTGACAGCAGATTTTGCCAGTGATGTTTGTCTTTTGATTTCCTAACTGCTGGTTCCAAGACTGTTGATTCTAGAGCTAAACAAACTGTGATTGTTAGTAACCTCGATCTCTTTTTCTATCTGATGCTGTCATTTATTGGGTGCCAGTGATACTTTACATATAGTTAATTTCATAGTACAATTGCTTGATATCCACACTGGCTCAGTCACAGGATCTTCACTTTTGAGATTTTCTGCCTGTTTTTGTTAGTTGCTCTTTGATGGATCCAACCCTTGAGGAGTCCATGTTCTAGAGTATAAAATTCTGTACCACAGCGTTTCCATTTGCTGTTTTCATAGTGGAGAGGAGCCCTGGTGGAAAGATACGCTACATTGTTGGATTGTTAAATTAAAGGTTGGTAGTTTGAATCCACCACACTCTGCACATGTGAGAAAATTGGGCAGTCATTTTTCATAAAGATAACATAGTTTTAGAAACAAGATCCATAACCTCAGAAACCCCATGAAAAATTGCTGTGAGTTGGAACGACTTAATGACAATGAGGTTGAAGTTTTAATTGAAGCACATTGCCAAACCTTTTCTTCTGCAGAACTACAAGGTGAGTTTGAACTGCCAACCTTTTGATTAGCAGTTGAGCATGAGCGGTAATGCTTAATGCCAGATGAGAGAATGAACCTTGTATGCTGCTAACAGTCCAGACTGTGAAGCTGTGCTCTCTTTTGCTTTCATGTCATTTTCCCACTGACTCTTTATTCTCTGCTTTGATCATGATTATTCTTTTGCAACTATGTTCTCAAATTTGCTCAGATGACTCAAGGAGGGATTTTGTAAGCATTGTAGACTTTCTTGCTCTTGAGTCCATAGATAAGCTTTAAAGGATTTTGTTTCTTTATTTTAATCTCCTGAAATGATTTGCTACATTTTGTATGAAAAAGAGTCACTGCCATAGAGTGACCGTGGGAATTGGCTCCTGAATATGCTTTTAAAGCTTTCTGTTGTCCTTACATGAATTTTCTTGTTGTAAAAGCAGAACTTACCTATTTAAAGGTCGTAAGTTAGAACGCACCCAGCACGGTAGTCCTTGGCCCAGCAGGCTGGCACCTGCCTGGGAATTTTGTCTGAGAAACAGGCTTTATTGGTCATTGGCCTGATAGGCAGTATTGACATAAGACTGGTATTGGATAACTATGTTATCACTAATTGAAACTTTTCATAAATGTTAGGGAAGTAGCTGAGCAAAAATCGGAGAGTCTGTTTCTTATTCTCTTCTTTTGGGCCTTGTTTGTAATCCCTCTGCAAACCCCCAGTATTTTTCATTCAATAATTGAGTATTCTTGTTTGAGTAATCACCACACCCAGATCTTTTGTTTGACTAATTCCTTACCAAAACCACTTTTGATATGTGGCATCTAAGGATAGAAATATTTTCTAATTGTCACTAGTATTGTTACTATGTCTGGACACACCATGGTTTCTCAGGGAGGCTGAGAAGTAGGCACTATTTTTTGCTTCTTTGAATTGCATTTTGAGAGTGAAAGGGGATACTGAACATGGAATGTCATTAAGATTCTCACTGAAAGATGGAGGTTAGGTAGGATAGCAACAGAGGAAGTAGTATAGTATTTATTGTTCCATTGGCGTGTTTGCCCTCTTGTACTGTTAATTCGTCTTGAACTTTGAAGGTGGAGCAGGCTTTGGAACATATGTATTAAGCCTCAATTCTCAGTTCTTTTATTTATTCCTCATTTTCCCCCTAGAGGTCAGCATCATTTAAGAACTTAGGGTGTTTTCTTCCACCTTACTGAGCATTTCTACTAGGGGCAACCTCCCAGTTCTTCCATTGCTGCAGTGGTGCTACAGAAGAGAATATGCTGATGGCTCTAGGAAGCCTTGGGTTTCCTCCTAGCTGCATGCTCACTATTGAAGTGATTACTGGAGCTTGCACTTTAAGCTCTGCTTAATGAAGAGAGGAACGTTATGCAAGGTACGTGGTCATGACTCCAGTGGGTAGAGATTATACGATGCTCTGGGTCCACAGCAGACTGTCTGCCAGTACACTCCAATTCTAATTCTACCGGGAGATGTTTTCTAGGTCATTATAATTTGGAAATTGTGGTTGGTTTTCTCTTCATTTTCAGATTTTTTACCATTGAATGTTCTTGTATTCTTAAAAATGAAGAAAGAGTAGTGTTAGAAGTCACTCAGTTTTATTTCCATGTGTACAAAATAAAACAGAGCAAGAAAATTAGGAAACGACAAATATTTCATCTTCAAATATTTTTACATTTTCAGGTTTACATTTTTTAATTAAAACTTTGCTGCATATTGACAGCATAAAATGCACAACACATAGGTTTTGGCTGTGATTGCATTTCCTAGATTTGAAGTGGCTATCATAGGATTAGGAACTCAGGTGAGGTTATTCAGAACATGACATAGTGCTACAACAGCAATTCCGAGCTGCCAGCAGCACCATAGGAGAAAGTGGGAAGTGTCCTCTAAAGATTTAGTTACTTGAGAACTGAATGGAGGGTAGCTATGGTTGCAGCCACCTTGAAGACAATGGGTTACCATAGAATTGCTTTTTATAATGTTATGTGCCATCAAGTTGGAATTGACTCATAGCAGACCCACTAGTCTGTTTTCAGTTGATGTACATCAAGCAGGAAGAGATTGCCCACCTTTGTTCTGTGGAGAAGCTGGTGGAATTGAACCTTACCTGCTGGGCTTCCAGCTCTCTGTGCTCTTTAAAATTGGTTATTCTATATTAGCTGGAAGTACCAACCCCAGTGCTACTGAATCTGTCCCAACTCGTAACAACTCTAATGGACAGTAGAAGTGCCCATACAGTTTCCATGATTATAAATCAAAACAGACTGCCTTTTTTTTCTTCTGTGGAAGAGCTGGTGAGTTTAGACCACTAACAGTTCTGTTAGCAACCCAATACTGATGGTGAAATTTGATAAAATCTCCAAGAAGGATTGATTCAGTGACTGTAACAGTGAGCTTGACCATGGTGTGGATAGTTCAACATCAGGCAGTGTTTCAGTCTGTTCATAGGGTCACTGTGAGTCACAGTTATCCCAACAGCACCTAACAATGTCATCGTTTGATAGCCGAGAAGGTGGTTTCCCCTTTTCATTTCCCCTAATTTAGACCCACTATTGCCAGGTTGATTCTGAATCATGATATCCAAAGCTGTAAATCTTATGTGAGGAGACTGCCCATCTTTCTGCTACACAGTGGCTGCTGGATTCAAACCAATAAAAGCCTGATACAGTAAAAACTACTAGTGGTTGAAGAATTGTTGCCAAGTAACTCAAAGGCAGGCAATTCGAATCCACCAGCTGCTCTGTGGAAAGAAAGCTGGGCACTCTCTTAGAAGATTTACAGCCTTTGAAAATCTGATGAGGGCT